ATAGTGACTGAACACTGATTGACTACAAGGTTTTGAACCTCCTTGTTTGGGAAATACTGGTGTCATTGTAGGAATATAGAACACTAAACAGATAGAGGTGGGTAAGAGATACTGAGTTTTGAATCTGTGGAGTTTGAGGTACAGTGAAATTTATATATGCACAGCTGGAAACATGTCAGTTTAGGAATGTGGCTAGAGGTAGAGATCAAAATGTGAGACTGCATAAAGCTCAGGTATGTGAGTAAGAGGTCAAGAGAAACTGAAGAACAGAAAAAGGAAAAGAAAAATAAGGACACAGTTTTGGAAAAAAGTTCTTTTCAAACATATAAATATGGAGTTTCATATATCTCTGTTAGACTGATTACATGCAGAAGTTGAAGTCAGGGAGAAAAAGAAACCAGACTGTTACAAAACAGAAAGTAACTTTCATAGAGCCCTAATATTATAGAATCTGCTAAAGGAGTGTTTCATACACTTTGTGAGGAAATGCTATGTCATTTTCATCACAGCGTATTTCTCCCTAATGAGTATCTTTGATTACCTTGAATGTTTAATATTTTCAACTTAAACAACTGTAGCAGCTCCTGTTTTTCAAGAATTTATTATATCCACCAGGTATTCTACATAGATTGTCTCATTTAGCCCTAACATCCTTGCAAATAGTGGTGATTATAAGAGTAAAAACTGTAATATTTCAAGGGCTTAATCTGTTCCAGGCATTGTGTTATGTACTTAATCTCTTTTATTTTTTATTCCTTATAGAAACTGTGTTTATGTTTGCAAATAGGTATCTTTATTTTTCCATAACACTGGAAGGGTTAAATAACTTGTTTTGTGTTATACTGCTAGTTAAGTCAGTACTCAGACTCATCTCTGAATTGTAAAACTTGTTTTTGTATTATACATGCTGCCATATTTTTACTTGTACTTGATGGCAGTAGGGAACACTGACTCCCTGGAGCCTATGACTGGTACCTAAGGGATGACACTCAAGTAAAGTAAAACAAAAATTAGAGCCACCTTGAGCCAGGCCTGGGTTACTGTCTTTATTGACCCCTTTTCAGAGTATGAGTGCCACCTGCTGGAAGGTTACAATGCAAGTGATATGCTTTGGGTGTGAAAGTGTAAAGTTGTAAAACTTTAATTCTTAAATTACAGTTTTAGGAATCCCAGAGCATTTCAGTATTAGCAGATGTCCTGATTTACCATAAAGCACATTACTTCATTTATCTTCTGTTCAATGGGAGAGGGAAGGGGGCATCCTACATTGAAAAAGATAATGTACCTAGCTTTCTAAAATAAACTCATTGACACTGTTCTCACAAGGGGAAAGATTGCTAGTCATATGAATCATTTTGTTATTTAAAATATTTATGTATTTTCCATTACTGGGTTTTCAACCCTCACACTGAGCTACATCCCCAGCAATTTTTTGTTGGTTTTGTTTTGGTTTTTGAGATGGCATCATCTTAAATTGTCCAGGCTGGGCTCAAACTTGTGATCTTCTTGCCTCAGCCTCCCAAAGTTTTGGGATTGCAGGTGTTATACCATTATTCCTGGCTATTTTGTTATTTTGTAAGTGATTAAACAAGATTAGAAAATTGGATTAACTGAGGTAATTGAGTTACATTAAGTCCCTAACTTACGAACATTCAAGTTTTGAGCTTTCACAGATACCAACAGACTTCACATTAGGAATATTCATAGATGCGAACAAGTCGCAGAAGTAGCTCTCCCTAACCCTAACCCTGTACCACCATTTTAAGGTATCTGTAAAAGTAAAACTAGTTTATTTACAGTATTTTTATGTGTGTTTGGATTTATATGCTTTACATTATGTATTTGTGTCAAAGATGTATGATTGAAATATAAGAAGATTTCGAATTCCCTTGAAAAGAGGAATGTGGAACTCATGGAGGCATCATACTTTGATGTAGAGAATTAAAGAGGAAGAAGGATATGTAGATAAAAAAACAAATAGATTCTGGCGTTTTTTTAGTTGAACATAAGAATCAGGATCCTAAAAAGTTTAGGATTCTAACTTTAGATTACTGTACATTTTATTCAGGACAGTAAAAAGTGAATACTTTTAACAGTTACTTTTATACCTTAAAAGGAGATGAGATAAAATATTGACATGTATGTTGAATATTGTTCATTAGGCTCCATTGGGATCATGTTACTATGCTGTATCTGGTACAGATATTGTTAGCATTTAGTGTGGGTGATAGGAAAATCATAGTCTCCTTAACTTCTAAATAAAGTGTATTTGTAGTTGCATAATGTCAAACTGAACAAATATTTGTGAGTTGATATTAAAGTTAACTGGTAAAATATGGTTTTTCTAGGAGTTCCACAAAGTGTCAGTATGAGAAGCAGAGATAATATCCTATTTGACACGTGGATTTCTAGAAAGAAAGGGCTTTTGGAGTGTGTGTATTTTTTCAAGTTATGAGTGTGCTTATTGTGGAAGACTTGTAAGTAGAAAAATAGTGCATACCTGTAACCTCAGCTACTTGAAAGGTTGAGGAAAGAGAATCACAAGTTTGAGGGCAGCCGGGCAGCTTAGTGGCACCCTGCCTCAAAAGAAAATCAATAAAAGAAGAAGGGCTAGTGATGTGTCCCCTTGGGTTCAATTTCAGTAATGAAAAAGAAACCCCATATTTCATACTAATAATTACTATTAATGTCATAGTGTAGTTCCTATTTTATAAACATATTTAATATTTTGTAGTCTTTTATATTATATCACATTATAACATGTCTTTTTCATGTAATTAAAAACTAGTGTGTATATTTGAGACTACAATATGTAGATATGCCATAATTATCAGTTTTCTTATTGAAACACTGTCTCAAAAAACAAACAAGCAAACTAATTCATGGGACAAATATTTATTGAGTGCTTATTATGTGCTAGGAGCCATTTTAAGCACTGGGGATATAAAACCAACAAAAATCTTTGCCTGTATAAAGCTTTTATGTTAATGGAGACTGACAGTAAACAATATAAAAATGCTCATGTCAGTTCAAGTGAGATGCTTCTGTACAATGACTGTTATTCAGAGGTAGTATTCAGATGATTTTTACATGATTTGCAGCATAGGTACTCAACTTTATTCAAGTTATTAGAATGGGTAAGCAATTTATTTGCCTCATTGATCTATTTATATGTATTGTCTTTCCTACCACATTGTGGAAATCAAAGACAAGGACTTTCGCTGTAGAGGAAAATACAGGGACTTTGGAGTCAGGGAAATCTGTTCAAGTCCAATCCCTTCTCTCTGTCCTGTTGGTCAAGTTAATCTTATCACTCTGAACCTTAGGTTCTTCATGCAATATAGAGTTATTATTAGGATTGAATGAGAAGTTGCATATAATACTTTTGCATATTAAAAGTATTTAATAAAGAAAATATTCAATAAATGTTTTCTTCCTTTTGCTTTGCAAGTGCTTTGGATCAGATTCCTTTTTCTCTTTTGTGTCTTCCACAGAGCTTCTTTTTTTTTTTTCTTTTCTTTTTTTTTTAGATAGGCTCTGGCTGTGTAGCATAGGATAGCCTCAAACTTGTGATCCTTCTGTCTGCCTCAGCCTCTCAAGTACAGGGGTTGCAAGCATGTGCCACCATGTTTAAAAAGCTTTACATTTAAAAGGCATTAAAATATTTATCAAACTGAATATGTTTCTTTCTGCCTATTAAATCTGAACCCTGGTTAAGGATAGCCTGAGGTAAGCATATTTATAAGGCTTTTTACCTTAGTGGTTAATGTTACTGTTACTAAATATTTTATCAAGCAGTTTTCTGTTATGTGCCAAAGACTTGAGTTTTCACTTACTGATTTAGTCTATTTTTCCTCTTTATTGTTGGAGGGTAGCTCAAAGATTTTTTTAAGGCCTATTCCGTTTTTTTCTATTTCTAGGATCACCTCTGTGTTAGTCAGCTGACATTATCTCAGTCTAATATAAGGGACAAGGTTTATATTGACTTATGGTTTCAGAGGTGTCAGTCTGTGCTTGCTTGGTCTTGTTGCTTTGGGCCTGTGACAGTACAGTACATGATGACAGGAGCACATGGCGATGGGGTCTGTCACCTCATGACTTTTGGGAAGCAAAGAAAGAAACGAGGAGAAAGGAGAGATCAGGGTCCCGGTATCCCCTCAAAGGCACATAACTCTACAACCTAACTTCCTTTCATGAGGCCCAACCTCCAGGCTCCACCACTACCCAATAACTACATAAGTTGGGCACCAAACTGTCAACACATGCGACTTTGGGGGGACATTCAAGATCTAAACCATAGTAACTTATAACTCCAGTTTTTAACAGTGGACATATTACATTATATATCATTTTCACTACTTCTATTCGCTACTCTCTTTTAATGGCACTACTCTAGACATGAGTAAGAATAGGAATTGTTGGATCTCCTTTTGTCAAATATACTGCACCAATACTGTGCTAGGGTGGATATAAACAGTATAAACACATGATTTCTGCCTCTCAAGAAGTTATTCCTCATACTTACCTGACCGGGGAGAACCATGATCATGAAGGTGATTGTCATGAAGGCTTATCCATTGCACTCCAGATGTGCTGACCCCTGAGATTTCCCTAAATGTGGGAAACTTGAATGCCTAATTTGTGGTAATGGGACTGCATTTGTACTTTCTCCAGGATTAAGGGAAGAAGCTATTTTTTTTTTAGTAAAAAAAGCCCAAATTTAATTAATTTTTTAGTGATACAATATTACTTTTGGGTAGTACTGCTATATGCTTCACCATTTAAAATTATAAAAGCACACATACACACTGAAAAGGGATCAAAAGACATGTACGAAGGTCTTGACAGAGCTTATCTCTGAGTAGTGGTAATTTGGACACTATTTTTTAAAACTCTTGCTTGTGTTTTCTAAATTTTTTTTAAAAATTCATTTTGAAATTATAAGAAATTGGTCAATCCCCTCACAGTGATCTGGTGGTCTGTCTTTTTCTTCCATTCAGCTTTTGCGAGAATTGAAGCACCCTAATGTGATCGCATTGCAGAAGGTGTTCCTTTCTCACAGTGACAGAAAAGTGTGGCTGCTGTTTGATTATGCAGAGCATGACTTATGGGTAAGTCTAAAGTCACTGTATAGGTCTGGTGGTTTTGCACGATATAGAGCCCAGTCTGAATGACTTAATGAGATCCTGTCTCAAAGTAAAAAAATTTAAAAAGGGCTGGGGATATAGAGAAGGGCATGGGTTCAGTCCCTAGTACTGCTCCCTCAAACAAAAACAATAACAAACCCAAATTGAATATGATGATCCAGTTTTATTTATTACAAGGGGATTAAATTCTTCATTTTTCTCTCTCCTTTCCTTCCCCTCCTTTCCAGTTATTTCCTATTTAATATTTACTCCTAGGAATATGTCTTAATTCAGTCTGTACCAAAATAAGGTTTTGTACAAAACCTTTTTTTGAAATTTCCTTTTTTTGAAATTTTGAAATTTCTCAATAGTTTCATTATTGATCATGATATCACCCAAATGCACTTAGTGCTAACTTTTTATAGAATAGTAAAGATTTGTAGTTTTTCTTGTTTTTTTTCTTTTAATCTTTTGTCAGTAAAGGACTTAACTTTATTAGATAGGTACTTAAATATGTACCAACTCTTTGTACCTTTTGGTCCTATTGAATGAAAATCTTAATAGTTTCAGTAAATCTCGTATTAGAACCCCACATTGGTATGGTTACATTCATCCCCCAAAATAGATTCAGTGTTGGTTGCCTTTATTATTAAAATTATTTTCTTTATGTCATTATTGGTCTTTAAAAAGTAATTTTCAATATAGAGCATTTGCTAAAGCCTTGAGTTTTACTAACAAAGATGTTAGCAAAGACTATATATTATTATAGTATATTTTATTTTTAAATTTCTAGCATATAATCAAGTTTCATCGTGCATCAAAAGCAAATAAAAAGCCCATGCAGTTGCCAAGATCTATGGTTAAATCATTACTTTACCAGATTCTTGATGGTATCCATTATCTCCATGCAAACTGGGTGCTTCACAGAGACCTGGTAAGTATATATCTTTAATATTCATCAATATATCTTTTCTCCTTCTTTGAACAGATAATTTTTTTCTTGGTACAATTACAGTGGAACATTAGTTATAAAAAATTTTTGAAATACACATAAATGAAAACAAAAATCATCCATAAACTTAGAATTGAAAGATTACCTTTAACATTTGGTATATATTATTCCATTATTTTTATACATAATTAAAATGTCCATTTGATTTTTTTTTTTTTTTGATACTGGGGATCGAACTCAGGACCTTGCTCTTGTGAGACAGGCGCCGGAACCACTGAGCTAAATCCCCAGCCCGTCCATTTGATTTTTAACCAATAATTAGTGTGTAGTTTTAGTGGAGTGGTTATATGTGAAACAAGTACATTTCAGGTCAGTTTGTTATTTATATTATTGCTTATCATCAGTAAAAACATTAATAAGACCTAAACTGAAATAATGACATTGTATCTGGTGGAAATAATGTTATCAACATTGATAATAAATGAATGAATATATTGAATGGGGGAATATACATATTGGACAACTTAGCCACAATTCAGATATTTGGTTTTACTTGTTACTTATTCAGTATCCATGTAACAATTAATATCAAATTAAATGCTAGGTGTTCATCTTCACATTGTTTTATTTTTTTCCTTAAATTCTTTCATTGGTATATTTCAGGTACACAATACGTTTACATTTATCATTGTGTGCTTGTACCTGTACATGATCTATCTTGGTTCTCATTTATTTCCCCATACCTGTGCACCCTTCACCCCCTCCACCCTTCCTGTCATAGACTTTGTTTCCATTTTTTTTTCTTTTCTCATAATTTTTCCTTTCCCTTCTTGCCTTTCCCCTTCCCCTCCCACCACCCCTACCCTTTTGGACCTTTTCTTCGTATTTCAAATTATCACTTATTTGTTTTCATCATTTTAATCCTTACTTATCCTTTCAGTTTCTCACACTAGAGAAACTATTTGGTATTTACACATGTGTGTCCTATTTATTTCACTTATGAGTAAGGCCTCTGTGCATCCACTTAGCTATAAATGTCTCTAGTTTCTCGTTCTTTATGGCTGAGGGGTACTCCATTTTATAAAAAAAAACCCACAT